TTATTTGATCATGATTAGGTGTTATGATTAGCCCAGGATACGTAATGGGATTTGAATTTCTTCAAGGGTCTCGTTTCTTTCGATTTTTCCTTTCTTTTTATTTGAAATGATTAGGGCCTTGGGAATATTGTTATGTGATGTGATCTTAGCATTGGGAATGAAATGTGTGGCGTGTTTTTTATATTGGATTAGTTATTCATGACTTCATGTGCTTTGGTTGTCTGTTTATGGGCTGTGGCTTTGGGGTATAGAAAGACCAATATATCCACCCCGTCTTTAGGATTACGAGAAGAGCTAGAACTAGGTTATGATTGAGAGGTTGCTGGATCAGATGTGAATGAATATCGTTGTTGATGATTGCGAAGAACTGTCCTGACTGGATATATGGGCAATGGCAGTAGTTTTCTGTTATTGAGGATATGAGGAGAACTCTCGTGTCACCTTTTTAGGAGGAAAATGGGCGAATTTCTATCACATGTTTTTAGGAGGAAAATGGGCGAATTTCTATCACGCCATGAGATAATTGTTGATAAATCTGTTCATCAATACTCTAGATTGTCCGGTATCTGTTTTATTGAGAAAAAACTTTATACGACTGATTTGTCGGTTCAGCTATTTATCTTTTAATGGTTTGTATCAGGTCATATGCAAATGTTTGTTGATTGAAGTTTTCCTGTAGAGTTCAGTATTATTGTGTGCAACTTTCTTTTATTTTCCAACTTAGTTCGTTCTGCTGGTTGATGATTATGATTATAGGACGCATTTGGGTTTGTCTGACATTGAAGCTCTGAAAGTATTGTTTTATGTCTCATGTAATTTGGTGGTACAGTGTACATTTTTTGCTTCACTATGGATGATGTGTCTGACATATTAATCGTGTAAATTGATCAACTGAATAATGATGTTGTTAGGCTGAGGCACCTCCTCCCGGTTACTTTGTACGGTTGGAGAACAAGAGTGCTGAAGACGATCTTTATTTGAGAAAGAGAACAAGGATGCGGAGGTGGCTGTGTTGCACCTGTCAAGTAGAGGAGTCCTATCAGCCCCATGAAAATGAGCACCTGAAGAGCCCAACAACTCACGCTGATGGTAAATAATTTATATATTGCTCTTTTTAACTAGCTACTTCTAAATTGGAAAATATTTTCAATCATTTTCAGTTGTGACTGAATACTATATTGCTTGAACTGTTGGATGAAATGTGTTATATAGAAATGAATAGAATGAGTTCTTCTTCTGCAAATGATAAGTATCTGTGTTGCCTTTAAATAAGAAGAATAGTTTGAGTATTACTTAAGTTTTGTCATTTTTAATTTGCTTCACTAGAAGGTTTGGTTATGGACGCACCGTGTGCGTCTCTTGGGAAACTAGATAGCTATCCCCATTTTTGGTTGGAAAGAACGGAGAGTTGGAGTATAACTTAATAGTCGTTCACAACACTTCATATGAAACGTACCTAGATTATATCCTGTGGCAGTGATATCAATTTCTGTATTTTGACAAATTGTATATGCCCTGAGTTTATACTAACGACAAGATTATATTATCTCTTAAATATTAGATGGCATGTTCTGGTTTTATGATTTGCCCTACTAAGTTACCATCAGTGGAGCAATATGGCTTTGTTTATCACTGGATGGATGTAATGCATGAAAATATGGAAGTGAAAAATGGCTGAAATCTTGATAAAAAAAAAATTGATTAAGTATACTAGGTGTGATTCTGTCACGTTGTGGTGGTCAGTTTTGTTTTATCAGACAACTAGTGCATTTCACAATTAATTGTTTGGCTGTATCGTGGAGCATCTTCATCTTTCGTTTTAAAATCAACCTGTCATGAAATCACTCTCCCCAAATAAGGCAACAACCATTAGAGTTGTAATCGGACCTAAAAAGCCGAGCTTGAGTGTTACGAGTACGTGTTCGTTTACGTATGGACACTAACCGTTTTCATTCGGTTCGTTTACAACTCTAACAGTCATTATATCTAAACATGATCTTGAATTAGTGCATTTGGTTTGACTTTAGTGGGTAGATATGATGGATGGTCCTTTTTCACTATATTAAGATACTATAGGTTAACCGTCCAAGTTCTATTTTATTTTGTTGAGAAACTTGCCATATGTATAGGAATTGAATCAAAAGAGTGTCTATTCTTAAAATGAGAATGTGTGGCTCGATCATAACCATTAAATAAAGACAAGATGTGTAGCCAAGATTTAATCTTTTTATTTTTGATTATTTAAATATTTATTTGACCGCTGACATTAATCGGTACAAAGTTGATGAAACTTAATCATGAAATTTGATAAAATATTAACTGATTTACTCAAATTCATAATTTTGGGAGAAAAACCTTTCCTAAAACATATGTATAAACAAAATATGCAGTGCATATGAACTAATATCCACTCAAAATATGACTCAAATTATGCAATTGATATGAATTAAATTTTTGCATTATGTATAACTAAATATGCATTTTGAACTAAATGTGTTAATAAATATGATTGATATCAACTAATTATATGAACTAAATATGCATATATATGGGCCGAAACCACGTTCCTGCTAGACCCTAAAAAAATGACACACACACACACACCCACATATTTATAATGTTTTACTTTTAGATTTGGTCACTCTTTATTTATCAAATTTTCTCCCTCCTAAATATGATAAGACTGTCTACTCCAATGGAGATCACTAATTTTATGTTAAAATAATTGACTTAATGCTTTTAGAGTTCTATAATCTAAAAACAAAAAACATCTTTGGGAAATTAACAATAAAACCTTATGATGCGGTTTTAGATTATGACTTCTTATAGTCGATAGTTGTAACTAAATTCAATATTTACCAAATTTTATGACTTCTTTATTTATCAAATTTTCTCCCTCCTAAATATGATAAGACTGTCTACTCCAATGGAGATCACTAATTTTATGTTAAAATAATTGACTTAATGCTTTTAGAGTTCTATAATCGAAAAACAAAAAACATCTTTGGGAAATTAACAATAAAACCTTATGATGCGGTTTTAGATTATGACTTCTTATAGTCGATAGTTGTAACTAAATTCAATATTTACAATGAATATTTACTATATTCACTAGGAATTTTTTTGTGAATTTTATTATTTATTTTTTGCTTAGTGTTGTCAAACACGTCTTGAAAAATAAAAAATTCAGCTACACAATTATTTGGGCAGATGACCTAGAACAATGTTTTTTTTTCTTTTAAACAGATTGTTGCCTAACACTAAATTCCAACTAAAATGTATTAAAAGAGAATTGCAATTAAAATTTCAATGGATATTTCAATGCTTCCATTCCAATGAGTTTGTCCTGCTCGAATTAACCAATTCCAACAAAAATATTCCGTTGGAATTGATTTTCTCTTGGACTTTCTGTTGGATTTTCATGATTCCAATAACTATAAATCATTTTTTTAAAAAAAATTCTAACGAAAATTCAGACAATAAATCATTTGAAAAATAACCATTGGAATTATCACATTTCAGCTCGATTTCCAAGGGACATGTTATAATATATGTTGAAGTTTCCAACACGATATCCATTATAATTTTCATTAAACCATTGATTTTTAGTTGAATATTTTTAGTGTAATCAACGTAAAACCTAGCCATTCTATGGAGATGAAACACAATAGATATTTGTTGGGGTGTAACCCTCTTAGCGACGCGCCATATCGGAACCCGGGTATGGTGTCAAATGGGCAAGGGCCGGGTCGTCTCCCCCTCAGGGACGCGCCATGTCGTGGTTTGGGCATGGTAGCAAGGACCGGGTCGTCATTTCCTTAGTGGCGCGCTACATCGGCGCCCAGGTGTAGTGGAAAATGAGCAAGGGTCTTCGCATCTCTCTCGACGGGTGCGAAGGGCAAGGAAGCTAGTCAAACCAACTAGGGTCCGCATAGGTAGTTGGAACGTAGGGTCCCTAACGGGTAAGCTACGTGAGCTAGTCGATGCAGCTATTAGGAGACGTGTTAATATCCTATGCGTCCAGGAGACTAAATGGAAGGGGCAGAAGGCGAAGGAAGTGGAGGATACTGGCTTTAAGCTTTGGTTCACTGGGGCTTCATCGAGTAGGAATGGTGTAGGCATCCTGATCGATAGGAGCCTTAAGGATGGAGTTGTAGATGTTAGGAGGCAAGGCGACTGGATTATCCTAGTCCGATTGGTAGTTGGGGATGTGACCATGAATGTGATCAGTGCCTATGCCCTCCAGGTAGGTCTTAGTGAGAGCGCTAAGAGGCAATTCTGGGAAGATCTGGACACCTTGGTCAGTACGGTGCCTGCCAGCGAGAAGCTCTTCGTAGGAGGAGACCTCAACGGACATGTGGGCGCGACTAATATAGGT